GGAAAGTATAACCCCTGATTTACACTGCACACGTCTGCGGCGCGTTACGGCTCCGAAGCGGTTTTGTTACGTCCTCCATCGGTTCGTGAGATCGGCCAAGTTAGTGAGTACCGATCAAGTCATAAAATGTGATTATCGGCCGATGCCGATCTCCGGCCGATCAATCGGAGCATCCCTATATAATACCATTCATATTTTTACTTTTTTTTATAATTTAAAGAAGAAACTAATCCAATGTATATTTGACATTTGAGGCTTAATACTATAGAAAAGCACTAAAGGTTTTTCAGTTAGAGTGTTTTCAGCTTGTTTATGTTCATATAAAAATGCGGCATGCAGTTGCATCAAACAATGGTATAAACATAATTCAATATAAATTGTGATAATCGTAATTAATAATCGCAATTACAATTTCAAGGGGATAATCGACAATTATGATTTTTGTCATAATCGTGCAGCCCTAATATATATATATATCACATTTCGTAGACTACACTAAACTGTACTAGGAACTCCAGCTGGCTGAAGAACTGACAGCTTGTACCGTCAGCTGCGTTTGCTCTTGTGGTTGATGGAGTGACGGATGGCAGACTGGAGACTGACCTCTGAGCGCCGCTGGCATGAGCCGACAGAGCCGTGTTGATGTGTGCATGGACAGCTGGACATGACGCAATCCTCCGCCAGCATTACACAGGAAACGTTTAATGAGGGACTGAAGACAGCCGAGTCTGTCAATTGCAAATGTGAAGGCAACTTACAATGGCAGGAACGTTTCACAGCTATATTTACTCTATTGTTGTGTTAACGACTTTAACACATTTCAGCTTAAAGCACTTCGACCACTCTGAGAACAAGAAGTTTCATTAAAATCACAATGTCCTCACACGCCTCTGCTTAACGACAAGGTTTCTGCAGGACTTCAGGACTTAAATCAATTGGATGCAATACTTCAATATGGTTTCTAAATGTAAATGTGAATATGAATATGGAACCACTACACACGGAATGTGGAAACTCTTACTGTATCTATCTTCTGATGACACTGCAGAAAAGTGCTGTTCATCCTCCGAATCACTCTTATTTTTCAGCGCAAATGTCTGAAGATTCTTAAATCAAAATACATTTACTGGAGAAACAAAATTGCATAAGTCTTATTTTCTGAGAAATTGATAATAAAAAATAAAAAAAACTTCCAATAAACTCAGAAAAATCAACTGTTTCACACGTTTTCATACCGAATGACGGATATTTGTTCTTGTTTTAAGCATAAACTCCCTTCATTTTGTTCAATTCAGAAAACATGACTCCCATATGTACATTTTGCATCTCAAGTAAATCTTGATTTAAGAACATTTGCATATTTATATTGGAAAACAAGACAAAAATACTGAGGAAGATATTAATTTCTTTGCAAATGAATGCAACATTTAATGCCGTGACTTTATGAATTCAAGACTTTCTGCTCCGTTTTTAAGTCCTTCATTTGTCTTTTTGATGCAGTTTTAAGTCCTGAAGAAGCCTGTAGTCAACTGGCATGTCGAGGAGCCGTATGGCGACTGATCAGAACACCATTAATCTTCATCATTGGTTTGGGCTGAGCTGTCTCAACCGTAATACGCATTCAGATGTAGATGAGTCCGAGCATCATAAACTGACTTTCATAAAGAATCATCTGAAAGATGGAACAGAACTGCTGTAAACATGATAACATCCCGCACATGCGTGACTTCTGCTGACTATCACACCACCGACAGCATCACAGACGCTTCTAAAGACTTTCCTGCCAACATCAGTCAAAGTGTAGTGAAAATGTGCTCGCTTTCACTTGAGATCTGAGTAAATGAGTGATCTACAGGGAAATGAATCATGACAGAAACACTGGTGTGACGTGACTGAGAAAGTGAGGCCTTTTGGTTGCAGTTTGATATGTCAAAACTGACTCATTTCAGCACATTCACCTCAATAACGACCCAACAACTACAATGTTTCAGTTCGGTACTCTAAAAATGCTGGGTTGAGGCTGTTGGGTAGTTTTTCTGCTGGGTCAATCTCACTGACCGCTGAAACAAAGGTTTGTATATGTTTTATTTCATTTATAAAGTCTTTACTGTGCTGTAAATGCTTTTCTTTTATGCAACGCAGGATTTGTATTTCTAAAATGCTTGTTAAATGAGTTTAAATGTATGCAATATTGTAAACTATGCTGTATTCATCTAAGTAAATTCAAATTGTCTTATAGTTTTGTCCATGAGTGTTCTTGCTTACTAATAAATGTTCATCTTTTGATTATTGCTGTTGCTTCTAGTAATTCTGTGTGTTATTTTTAATTGCCAGCCCATTTTAAGCCAGCTATATGGTCATTTTTAAACAATAGTTGAGTTAAATAAAACAACCCAGCATGTTGGGTAAGAACATTTAACCCACCCAGCTTAGCCAAAATAACCCAGCATTTTTAGAGTGCATATGGTGTTATATTAATGCATATACTGAAAGGTTGAAGTGTTTTCTCACAGAGCAGGTGTTGTCTGGCCAAAACAATGATTTAGCATCTGGCTGAAAAGCCTATAATAGATCCCCACATAAAGTGGGGCATGTTGTCACAACACGCGTTTAATTAACGCTGTGTATTCCTAATCTAGGTTTTTTTTTTTGGTTTTTTTTTGCAGGTTTTAAAATAAATCTACGCTGATAAACATTGACTGGAGTGAAACTGCGCCAGCGAGCCCCGGGTCCCCTAAGCACTGGCTACGACCCGATTTCCCGACACTAGACCGCAGTACTTTCTCTATATGACTTTGTTTCGAAAGCAGGCGACGCGGTGTAATGTTTCGCTTCGCTGTTGATCATACAGTAAGCCGCGCGCGGGGACTCGAGCCCCTCACTCACCTACACACACAACCTAACACACAAACTAACACACACACACACACA